GTCAAGGGCGATCATTGGTTAAATGTGATCATGTGACTGATGCAAGCCAGATCCTTTTATTTAGCAAAACTGTGATTAATAGTTAAATATTATTGTTGAGGGGCATAGACAGGACTCTGCACGCACACACACATTAAAATAATAATAATTTTTTTTTTAAAAAGTTGCCTTATCAAAAGGGCACTTTGGGCACCCATCAGGAAAGGGGCGGGTGCTTATGCTTTACTGCTTGGTCCCCGACAATGGCAGTCCAGTCTCCCTGCAGCACAGACTACACTGCCCGTGAGGCTACATTCTGCATTCTGCCTATTAGCTTAACACAACAACAACAACAACAAAAAGGTGCTCTCTCACCCAGGAAACACGCAGAGCGAGAGCGTCACCCTGTAACCATGGCAACCGCAATGCTGCCGCCTGGAACGACAGAACCTAGCTGTAAAACAAAACCGAAACAGTCCTGACCCGCCACAATATGAAACAGGAAAGTACCACCGTGTAATCCATTTATTTCAACAAAGTAACTGTATTCTAAGTACCACCTTTTTAAACGGTAACTGTAACGGAATACAGTTACTCATATTTTGTAATTTAAAAACGTCACGGCGGTACATGTATTCCGTTACTCCCCAACACTGTTTATTGCCTCAGACTTTTGACCTTCATATTTGAAAATCTTCTGTGTACGGTGTTTTCAGCATTCTGAAAAATAACAAAGGAAATATTTACATGAGGTCTGTAAAACTGAAGAAAATGAAAGAATGAAACAAAATGAAAAAAGAAATCTTATCAAACTTCACGAACCTGTCATGTGTTTTGTACATTTACAATAACATAATGTCTAACCTTTCCTTTTCCTTTTTTTGGTTGGGACATCCGAGGTGTACGCCGTAGAACTCGAGGGAGATGCAGGAAGTGGAGATGGAGAGGAAGATGCAGGAGGAAGCAGAGATGAAGAGGTGGATGCAGGAGGAAGCAGAGATGAAGAGGAGGATGCAGGAGGAAGCAGAGATGAAGAGGAGGATGCAGGAGGAAGCAGAGATGAAGAGGAGGATGCAGGAGGAAGCAGGGATGAACAGGAGGATGCAGGAGGAAGCAGAGATGAAGAGGAGGATGCAGGAGGAAGCAGAGATGAAGAGGTGGATGCAGGAGGAAGCAGAGATGAAGAGGAGGATGCAGGAGGAAGCAGGGATGAAGAGGAGGATGCAGGAGGAAGCAGGGATGAACAGGAAGATGCAGGAGGAAGCAGAGATGAAGAGGAGGATGCAGGAGGAAGCAGAGATGAAGAGGAGGATGCAGGAGGAAGCAGAGATGAAGAGGAGGATGCAGGAGGAAGCAGAGATGAAGAGGAGGATGCAGGAGGAAGCAGAGATGAAGAGGAGGATGCAGGAGGAAGCAGAGATGAAGAAGAGGATGCAGGAGGAAGAACAGATGAAGAGGAGGATGCAGGAGGAAGCAGAGATGAAGAGGAGGATGCAGGAGGAAGCAGAGACGAAGAGGAGGATGCAGGAGGAAGCAGAGATGAAGAGGAGGATGCAGGAGGAAGCAGAGACAGAGAGGAAGACACAGGAGGAAGCAAAGATGAAGAAGAGGATGCAGGAGGAAGCAGAGACGAAGAGGAGGATGCAGGAGGAAGCAGAGACAGAGAGGAGGATGCAGGAGGAAGCAGAGATGAAGAGGAGGATGCAGGAGGAAGCAGAGATGAAGAGGAGTATGCAGGAGGAAGCAGAGAAGAAGAGGAGGATGCAGGAGGAAGCAGAGATGAGAGGAGGATGCAGGAGGAAGCAGAGATGAAGAGGAGGATGCAGGAGGAAGCAGAGATGAAGAGGAGGATGCAGGAGAAAGCAGACATGAAGAGGAGGATGCAGGAGGAAGCAGAGATAGAGAGGAGGATGCAGGAGGAAGCAGAGATGAAGAAGAGGATGCAGGAGGAAGCAGAGATGAAGAGGAGGATGCAGGAGGAAGCAGAGATGAAGAGGAGGATGCAGGAGGAAGCAGAGATGAAGAGGAGGATGCAGGAGGAAGCAGAGACAGAGAGGAAGACACAGGAGGAAGCAGAGATGAAGAAGAGGATGCAGGAGGCTGACAGAGATGAAGAGGAGGATGCAGGAGGAAGCAGAGACGAAGAGGAGGATGCAGGAGGAAGCAGAGATGGAGAGGAGGATGCAGGAGGATGACAGAGATGAAGAGGAGGATGCAGGAGGAAGCAGAGATGAAGAGGAGGATGCAGGAGGAAGCAGAGATGAAGAGGAGGATGCAGGAGGCTGACAGATGAAGATGTTGGTTCAGGCTCTAAATGAAGAATAAATTCCTGGTTTCGAGCCTCTGGGTCTGGGACTGGTCCAGCATCCACACTGTCAGCAGAGGATGGTCCAGCTGCTGGTGGAGAACTTTTAGCAGGAGGTGAAACTTGTAATTCTGCAAAATTTTAAATACTAAATATTCATTAAAAGGGGTTGAAAATGTACAGTACACATAAACACATAATAAGTAGTGATTTGCATGTTTTCAGTTAGGTTTTTACTAAAGTTACAACTTGTAAATATTGGCATCAAGTAAGTCATCTCACACCCTCACTGACCCAAATCATTCAGTACAAGTGCCCTCGGGGGTAGTGTGACATCTGTAGTGCTTTTCTACATTGTACATTAATAAATTAATGAGTGTGACTATAAATCCAGAGAGCTAATGACTTTTATCCTCTGATGACACTACTTTCCTGAATTTGTAGTGCACAACATTTGACACTTCAACCTAGTACTGTGACTTAAGAGTTTTGTACAGTGGTGATGCTAACGACCTCAGGGAGGTAATCAGGTGACCTCTCAAGAAGTATATAAGTGTATAAGAATCTTTGTGTTCATATTGGTAACATGTTTACATATGTACTTGTTATACTAGAAAGTCTCAAAGAGAATTATCAGGTGTGGTGTTCGAGAAGATTTGTACAATTACATTTGTATAAACATCAGTGAGAAAGACCATAATATACACACACACACACACATATACAAAATTGTTAAGTCAGGTAACACCAGAGGTTCACGATGGCTAGCTTTGGTGATGTGAACACCACATGGGGAGGTAATAAGGCATATATTGTCATGGTCCTGGGTCGGCGACCCAGCGCTTTGTGTTTACTATTATTATTTTCTAGTTTATTCTGTTTTGTATTTGTTCTTAGTGTTTTCTTCATCGCTACCTGTGTCATCCCTCTGTGCTCTGTTCGGGTCCCCGAGTTTTGTGTTGTAAAACAGTCTGTGTGTTTCCTATTTTACTTTGTAGGTCTGTGTCCCATTAGTTCCAGCTGTGTCCCCTCCTGTGTGTCATTTCCTGATTACCTGATGTGTGTATTTATACTGTGTGTCTGCTCCTCGTCGCGTCGTCTGTGTCCATCCTCCGTGTTACTCTGTGAACCTTCTGTGTACTCTGCATTATTCCGTGTTCACCATGTCTCTCTGCGCCTCGCCCCATGTCCTCCTTTTGTGTTAGTTTTCCCAGTTTAGGTTTATGTTCGGTTCTGCCCACATCTTGGTTTTGTTCACTATAAATAAATCCCACTTGCACCTCCACCACTGTCTGCCATTGGATCCTCCTTTCTCACCTTCACACGACTGCTGCCCCAGTCGTGACATATATAACACTATTTTCATGTTAGCCACAGGACATGTAGGGCAGCTGTCACCTCACAGCAAGAAGGTTACTGGTCTGAAACTTGGCTGAATAATAGAATAGAATAGAACAGAATAGAGTAGAGTTGAAAAGAATAGCTAGTGACTCTGAACTATCCTCGTCTTCACCATCTTGTTTGTCTCTATGTACCTCGTGGTGAACTGCCTACTTATCTAGGGTGTACCATGAGTATCACCCAAAGACAGCTACACTGTTAAAAAAAACATCTTAAAAAAACAGTAACATTCCGGCAGCTGGGGCGCCAAAATACTACCGTAAAATATCAGAAAATAACTTCCTCATAAAAATACGGTTATTTCCAGTAATGACAATACAGTTTGTTGTAGTTTTAACGTGATCAAACAATGAAATTACCTATAAACAAGGTCAATGAATGTGGCAATATGAAGAATAATAATACGAAAATGTACAGAAATATACAGTTAACAGTTGGTTTAAATAATAATTGATTGCATGCCCTGGGATAGACTGACAGAGGCGAGGCTGCAATACCGCACCATCAGCCATCACCAGTAGGCGGTAGGTGAAGAGTCTTGACCACGGACACAATACTGAGAGTGTCCGAGCCGGGGCTCCAACCGGCAACCTTCTGATCACAAGGCGAACTGCCAACTCTTGAGCCACGATCGCCCTAAATAGCAATGATAATAATACTTATGTGATGTAACACAAGCTTATAGGAATCATGTTATATCAGTCCATTCTCACTCCCCGGGCATAACATGGTGACGTTTTGTCACGTCCCGCGGCGTTCTTGAGGAACGCGGAAGGAGACCTTCCGCATTCTTATGGTATGCGCCGGTATGGTATGGTATGGATGAAATACAGTGGAATGACGCTCCCGCGGTAATAGACGTTCCAGCCCTGTATTCTAGCCCTAAACCTAACCTTATCCCATAACCTTATTCCTGACCTTAACCAGGACTGTAATGACGTTCAATAGCGTGTTTCTAAGCGATTTGAAGAGAAAGAGCGAACATGTGTAGATTGAGTCCAGACGGTTCTCACATGTCCTCATTTTTCCGAGGTCATCATTTAGGAACGTGGTGGGTAGCCGAAAACGTAATATGTTGAAGATTTGTCACCTAGCGTAAAATGTTACGCTTTGTGAGAACGTGTTGGGGTTCCCCACATATTCCAACCTGATACAGCAGAACTGATCAGAAAAGAAAAAGAGGGGACAGGAAAGGGTTTTTTTTTTTTTCAGAAGTTGGAAGCTAACTTGGACTCTTTACTACCATAACGAAATTTCAAATGTAGGAGAATCAAAATCCAAAATAACAACAATTCAGTTTAGTTCAAATCTGACTTTTAATAAGGAGACAGCTTAGAGCCAACAGAACAATAAAATGATGAAACAGAAAAATAATAATATAGAAAATCACATTGTAATCAGAGATTCAAACAGACAAGAACAACAATGGCTCCACAAAGTAAATATTTACATTAAGTAAATCCTTTCAGCCCAAGAGCAGATGCAAAAATATGAGGAAATACTTTTTCTTTCCTTTCTTACTGCTTATTTCTAATATTTGGCTTACATTTGCAAAAGGCTAAAAGGGCTAAAACAATACATCCATATAACAGAACTTAAAAACTTAAAAAAGACTGTCGCGGTTCGAATTTTGAGGAAGAGACATACGACTGAAAAGTCCATAGTGGGTCAACACAGATTATTTTATTAAAACACACAGAAAGTGCAGGGTGGGGAGCCGATCCTCGGTCTTCTCCCTCTGCCCTGTTACAGAAAGCTTTACAGCCATTATGACGTCAGTAGAATTCCCCAGATTTCCTCTTTCTTCAGAACAACAACCCTTCCCAGAATTAAGACCAGATGTTTCCAATCATCGGTATCTGGGAACATACCCAATTGTGTATCGTGTGCAGTTTTGTGAGATTGTCAGTTCAAGCCAACGAGAGTTGAGTGTCCTTATCTGACCTACTGCGGGCTGCCTGGACCTGCAGCTATGCTGGTGCTTTCTGTCTAGAATATGGTATCTAGAATTACTAAATAGTAATTTGGCTTACATTTGCAAAAGGCTAAAAGGGCTAAAACAATACATCCATATAACAGAACTTAAAAACTTAAAAAAGACACAGATACTTCCTTCTGCAACTTACAAAATGTAAGTAACACAAGGAAATCGGGATTCTCACAAAGAATACATAACAATCCATTCAATTTTTTCTTCTGAACTAATATGGCTGGAGTCCTTAAAATAATTCATAGAATAGATGTTTTAAAAAATTTATTTTTGTATGCATTATATATGTATATACAACATATTATATATGTGTTGTATAAACGTGTTGAATTTGGTTATGATTGATTTTGTCAATAAGTTTGAAATTTTAAAGCTACTTTTAGCAAACCATTGATAAACATGCAAATTGTCCTTTTTTTGCAACTAACTCGTCAGGTAGAAACAGTTAGTCGTTATTGAGGCCTGCTGTGCCCACTGTCGTGGCTTTAGCTGTGGCCCCTGTTGCAGATGCTGCTGTGTCCTCGGGGACAGGTGCTGCTGTGTCCTCAGTTGGGCATTGTTGGGGATTTTGCTGTTGTATAGAGGTTTCTGTTTTGTCTGAGGTTTCAGTCATGTTTGCAGCAACACCTATAGGAGGTTCCACCCATCTATTTTTAGTTCCTTCTTTATCTTGTGTTCCAGCTTGCTTTCTAACTTCCATTTCAGTCCACTCTTCTTTTGCATCTTCTCTGAAACGCTCTTTCGATAACTTTTCCCTTTGTTCCAAGATCACTGCGTCATAAACAGCTGTACTGCTAGAACAGCATTTACAGCAATCACACCACAATGACACCAGGGCCAACAGAAAAATGATACCAAGGAGCACAGAGAATCCTAAAATCTGAAAAGGAAAAAGAATCACCAAAGACCAATTAGAATAAGATAAAACAGTGTTCAATGCTGTGAAAAAAAACTAAAGAGAAAAAAGGAAACACTCACCCTTGATGTGTTTTTTAGAGAACCAATGGTCACATTTTCCTCAGCTGTGATGTTAGTTTTATCTTTGCAGGCTAACTGTGACTGTTCTTTCTTACTCTGACAGCAAACATACCAGTCTCCATCAACGAGCACAGAGACAACCCAAAGCAGACCAACGCAAACTGCTTTGAAAATATGACTCCAGAAAACTCCACATAACTCTGTCCTGTAATTTGGAACACAAGGCTTCACTGAAAAACAGCGACCGTGAAGTATTGTCCTCTCCCCCTCCGTTCTCCTATCGCAACTCTTGTTGCAGTTACATTTACATTCACAGTAATATTTATATGCAAATGTATACTTGCAGGTCTTCTGTAATGTCTTGTCTGCCCAAAGCATTAAGAAAAAAATAATGAAAGATGGTAAGAGCACGTATGTGCTGCAGTCTCGAGCTACATCTTTGCAAGTGCATTGCATATCACGATCAAGTAAAATATTGTAAGTAAAACTGCCAACGATAGTAACAAAAACACCGAGCTCCCTAAAGGGAAAATTTGTCAGAAAGTTCCTCATCTTTGGCAGACAGTTTGTATCTGATGAGCACTGCAGCTTAAAATGTGAACAAGTATCAGCAAGACCACAAGCATTTCCCTTCTGAGAAAAAAAGAAAAAAAAATCTTGTTCTGAAGGGGTGGGACTTTGTGAGTCATAATGACTGATATTTCTTTCCCTACACTTAGTATGTCTTGATATGCTCTTCCCCAAAATAGCAGAAATGATTAGTAATTTATTAAGAATCACACACTAATAATTGAGAAATTAACAAAAGCAGATGAATAATATTGAAATGATCAATATTTCGACCAAAGACTTAGAGGGTGACCTGGAACCTAATTATCTAATATTGTGACATTGATGCTGAGTTTTCTAAAGGGACCATTGAAAGTTTGTGGATATTGTCTCTCCATCTCTGAGTATTTCTAGCAACTTAAAGTTACCCCACCGAACATAAACCACATAAACCCATGTAGCTCTTGTTCCTGAAACCTGCTGAGACTGCACTTTACACAGCAAAATCTCCAGTGTTAAATTAACACTAGAGACTGTCTATATGGGTCCACTCCTCTGAGTGTTAAATACAACACTGTTGAGTGTTAAATACAACCAGTGTTGGGACTAACGCGTTATTAAGTAACGCGTTACCGTAACTACGTTATTATTGTGGTAACGAGCACGGTAACTAGTTATTATGCCAAAATCAGGAACGCGTTAGTCGTTACTGGGATTTAGATAGGCTCGTTACTCGTTACTTCGTGTGGTGGCTATCGCGGAGCTTCCACAGATTCAGTAACATTAGCAAGTGGTGGAAGCCAGGAGGTGGATGAAGGGAAAGGGACGCAGAAGGAAAAGAGACCCGAGGCGGCCGCCGGTCCAAGTGTGAGCTGAACTTCAGGTAAGAAGTTATGACCTGCAGTCTCTCTGGGTCAGATATGACTTCAGCCTCAGTGTCTTTATTAGATGTTCAATGTGTGGCTTATAGGAACGACTGTCATCAACCACAATACCGAGGTATGTGTACGAGGCCACAGTTTCAATAGAAATACTTTGAGCAGATACAGGAGAAGGAAATAAAGCCGGACCCTCTTTCTGTTTGTGAACAACATGACTTTGGTTTTTTCTACATTTAAAGCCAGTCTGAGCCAGCTGAGACTGAATACTATCAACAGCTGCTGTAATGGTTTGAAAACTATGTTAATGGTATAAAATGAACAGATGCATCTAGATTATGTGCCACACCGTTGACATAAGTAGCCCAGGACAGAACCCTGTGCACTCGTTTAGTGACATTTAAAAAGCTGGAAGAGAGACCATTGAGCTGAACGCACTGCTGATGTCCAAAAGAACATTAGAGAAGCAGCCAGCTGCTCGGTCTGAAAGGCCTATTTCCAGTAATCTATGACATAAAATGCTGTGGTCAGCAGCTCAGCTCATAAACCAAGGGACTGGGAGCAGCTGCTGCTGAGTGTTGCTGGAGTTCCTGTGCTGTTAGATCCTCATCCTCTCCACGCAGCTTGGAAGTAGGTGAAGTTGTGCCAGAAGAGTTTTTGTTGTGGTCGACAGTGTCAAAGACTTTGATAGATCAATAAAAAGAGCTGCACAGTAGTTCTTTGCATCCAGCGCTTCATAGACGTCTTTGAGAACTTTAATCGAAGCAGTTCCAGTACTGTGCAGTTTCCTAAAACCAGACTGGAAGGGAGATAAAATCATATTTTCATCCAGATAACTTTGAAGTTGATTATTTACCAGCCTTTGAAGAACCTTAGATAAGACACAGAGTTTGGAAATTGGCCTGTAATTACTAACTGTTGAAGAATCACCAGCTTTCAGTGGGGGAGTGCAGAGGCACACTTCCACATCTGTGGTAAAGCCTTCTGTTGTAGAGAAAGATTAAAAATATAAGACACTGGCTCAGCTATGATTTTTGCAGCCAAGTGCAAGAAGGAAGGAGAACGATTGGGAGGACGAGTTTCTGGTGTTGGGGCTATTCAAAGCCTTACAAACCTCTTCTACTGATATCATATCTCACAGTACAATAATATTGAATGGGTTGCATTGTTGTATTTTGTCATGTTTCTCAGGTCTTTGTCTGAATTTCTACGAACATTATTGCTAAGGATTGTCTTATTGCATTGGAGTCACACTGGGTTAAATATGTACACTTGGGTTTTAAGGGGTATTTATTATTTTCTTCTTTTTTTGGGTTGTATGGAAGCCCCAAACGCAATTTCATTGTTCTTGACAATGACAATAAATAATACTACTACTACTACTGTGACAGGTGTGAAGGAAAAGGTATCAGTAAGCAGGAACTATGAGCAGAGTTGTGTGCAAGAGGTTTACCATCAGATACTGTGCTGAACAAAGAACAAGAAGCAACAAAGTGTTTGTTAAAGCAACATTTCAGTTTTGTGTGACACAGGAGTGGAGTCGATATTTAAGTGAGGAGGAAGCTCTGAGGAGTCACAGCTGGCAGAGACACTTTATAGTTTGCCAAAACCTCCTACGGTCGTTTGGACTGTCAGTCGTTAAAGTAAAAATAGTTACATTGGATCTTGATGATGGAGGCAGTAATCCGATTACACAGCTAATGAAAACGTAGCCAATCAGCATCAGAGCCAGACTTCCTGCCCAGGCCTGGTTTCTCTCATGTAGGAGATCGGCCGGTACTGAACCAAACCAGGCCTGTCCCGACCTTTCACCCTGACCTGGCAAAAAGGGGCGTGTCTGTCCACAAAGTAGACACAACTCTCCTGTAAATGTTCCCAAACTGACATTGTCAGCCTGTTTAATACGACCCCAGTTCAAACTGATGCGGGCTCGGAGCGTGAGATTTTAGTGTTTCTCACAGCACCAACTATGCAGTGATCACTCAGGTCGTTGGCAAAAACTGCAGATGTGGAAAACTTACGCAGCAAATTAGTTAAAAAGGTCAATAAGAGCAGATTTATCTGGGTGTTTAGGATCAAGGCGTGTGAGGCTTTAAATAATTTGAGTCAGTTTTAAAAACAAGCAGCGTGCCTTAAAATCATCAGACACAGAAGAAAGCCAGTCCCAATGAAAACCATCCATCTGAAAGACGTCATTAAAAGCAGCTCAGATAAAAGTTGAACCAGAGACGGTGATGTGCTGGGGAAGCAGGTGGAGGCTGATAGCAGCCAACAACAGTCTGATTTCCAAACAGATCAATAGTTAAGGCCAAGATTTCAAATGGCTGAGGTGCAGATGGAGAGAACAAGACTTGAGCAGCAAGACAGACCTTCACATACACTTCCAGACCTCTGCCTTTTCTGGGACAGTCTGAGTGCTAAATGTTAAATCCATCAGTTGCTACGTTTTTACCCAGTAAAGATTTGGAAAGTCTCAGAAACAACAATGATACCAGCACCGCTTGAACAGGCCCAGATTCCAATCATATCCATGTTAGGAAGCACACGACGTGATGCACGTGTAACCCAGACAGTTTTTAACATCTGCTGGTGTTTCACATTCAGCCAGAGGCCCAGGGTTAGGTTGGATACCAGACAATAATAAAAGCATCGTTATTAGACTCTAGAGCTCGTTTATAGCTGACACCACATGTAGAGTTTAAGTTCACACAGAGACGATGACATTTTTCTAAAACCAGCAAACAATAAACAAGAAATGTAACAAGAGTTTCAGAAGAAGCTGTTTTACAGAGAAATGATTCCCTGAAGACAAAATTATTATTATCATCTTTATTTCTCCAGGTGAAAATTTAATTGAGATTAAAAATGTTGTTTTCAAGAGAGACCTGGCATCATGGCAGCAAGAGTCAAAAATACATCATAATTCAAACAAATACAAAATAGGAGAAACATCCTACATAAACTTCATAAAGTTTCATTAACAGACTTTGAACAATGGACTTCAAACTTCCCCCCAAGCAACAGAGACACATTTGAAGATAATGAATGACATTTATCCCTCTAAAGAAGGACTTAGACTACGATTTAATATGAATGAGAACATGTTCATAAATGGATGCAACCAAAGATTTCATCAATCCCTGATTTAGAGACAACAGAACATTTGGTTTGATTTCACAAGATAAGAATGACGACTGAGTTGGAAGATTGTTTTATGTTTAGTCAAATCTTTCCTACATAAAGTCGGATTACAAAATCATCCCCTAAGTTTGTTGTTTTATTCAAGGAATTGAAATTATAGAGAAAATCTGTGAAATGACTTAAAGAAAACAAACCACAAAAACTCTATGATGCTCTAAACCCCCTGGTTTAGGTCGGCAACCTTTCTGATGATGAGTGCATCTAACATTTCCTCAGAAGTCAATGTGCCATATGATTGCATTAGCAATAAATTACACACTTTATAGGATTATATTTGTTTGCAGCTATCAGCGAATAGTTAGTCAGCTATTTTGAAACAAAAAAGACTTTTTATCCATAACAGCAAATGAACTGTACAACAGAAAATACAAATGCTATTTATGGTCACCTCACAACAATAATAAGAAAAATAAACTGGGCCAATATGGCATGTTTGTGAATACAGGGACACACATGTTAATGTGATCTCTGGTCTCCCACTCAGAGACACAGGTCTCCGAGTGTCCAGCATTCAGACCTGAGGACTCTCTTCATGTGAGAGAAAATCTGCTCACACAGATATTAGAGCCGAATACTGTCAATAAGGCCTCTGCAATGTTCTGAAGACAGTTAAACCTGTCAGGTAGTGATGTCCAGCAGGTGAAAATGCAGCTCCATGAACACGCATACCTGTGGATTCCAGCTGTGTTCGTAGTTCTGCAAACTTTGACCCCACAGAGTCGAGCTTTTCAGTTCAATCAGCTGCATTTCGATGTCCTCTGTGTCCAGCCAGTTAATGCGACACAATCCAGCTGCTCATTAAAGCTTTCTGGTTTGATCAGAAAAGAAAACATTGGTCCAAACACTGAAAGTCCCAAAACACATTGTGAATTCTGTCTCGAGTATCCGGATGTATCCGAGTATTTACGTGGTGCTGTTGCTCCTGAAGCTTTTGAAGTGTCTGAATGTGCAACTTTCAGCATTGCTTGAAAAAAACTGCCAGCTAGCAATGTCCCTCTCACTGGTAGGCGAAGTTATTTTTCGCCAATTACAAGTTGAATCTGGTAGTTGGGTAGTTAGCTAAGATACTGTCATTAAGAAGAGGCACAACTAATGTGTCTATGTGAGCTAATTTGCGATGTGCACCACTGGCCCGGCCATTTATTTTAATGCACCTTCCCAGATTACTTCACTGCGTGTCGTGCCCAGGGCTGGACTGGGACAAAAACTCAGCCCGGGCATTTTGACTAGAGACCGGCCCCCAGGTATTAAGCCATAAAGCCTTTGAATGAAACAAACGCTGTTGTGACAGTGATGTACAGTCTTGTTGGTATATGTAGGATTTATATACATTTTACATCAGATGAAAACTTTGGTTGTAAGATTCAGATAATTATTTATTAAAAGCGAGACATTTTAAATGAGAAT